ATTAAAGTAGTTGTTAAGGTGGACAGGGCACCGACAGACGTAGCCTCGGACGACGCACCCGTGAAACGTAGGTGTAACAGTCGGAATATTGCAAGTGAATATGTGAAAGATCATTTATTTGAACTGTGGAGAAAGATATGAAGACATGATTCAGTGATCATCGCAGTTATACACACAAGTTAAGAAGCTGCGAAATTAAAGCCTTAAAAACAAACAAAAACAAAATCAGACTTGAATGGGATTCAAACCCATAACCTCTGCGATAGTGGTGCAGTGCTCTAGCAACTGATCTATGAAGCCAACTGGGAAGTGGTCACGTTGTGAATTCGTAATACTAAATATTACACTCACAGCGTGACCAGCTCCCACTGCGATGATCAATCATGTCTTCAGTTGGGATATTGAGCACCGATGTACACTCTTTCCTCTAATTTTCGTTATAAGGAAGTTACCAGCATGGCCGTTGAAGCCGGTGTAGGAGTTGAATTCGCCAAAACCCACGGGCCGGGTTATCTATCAATTCACATTCCAGCTGGGTGGAGAAAAAAAAAAAACGTAACCTGTCTCACTAACTCGCGCAATTTGATAGACTAACTGAAGTAAGTTTTTGTTTGTTGTTCCAGGAATCAAACGCCACAGTACTTGTCGCCGGAGGTGCTACTATGTGTATAGAAGATCGTGTTTTCTCTTTTTTTGCTCGTCCTATTATGAACGGCAGTGTGGAACGGTCTGCGACTGATAAATAGTTATCGTTTTCCTAAACAGATAGTACTTAGGGACTAAATCAGTAGAAAACATTAAGTGATCGAGTCCAATTTACAGTTGTTATTAAAAATAGCGTCGAAGTTAGGCAAAGAGATCAGAACATTGTAAGTCGCATTACAAAGTTTTATTTTAATTTTTAGTTGGAGAAAAGTAAGATTTTATTTTAGTTCTTTTACTGGCAGCTTTTTTTCACGTGTCGAACATGTTTAAGTGAGGTCAAAATTAAAGTAACTTTGAAGTTTACCAAAGAAGTCGATATATTTTAAGTCGCATTAAAAAGCTTTTATATTTGATTTTTTGTTTGGGGAAAATTGTCATAGTTATAAATTGTATGTGCCTCAATTATATGATTATATTTCAAATACGAGTACTGAATTAAGTAAAGTTAATAAAGCCTCCTTATGTACCACGTCATAGAATGTCTTTTTTTTTGTTTTGTTTTTGATTTTGTTTTTGTTTTTGTTTTTGTTTTTGTTTTTGTTTTTGTTTTTTGTTTTGTTTTGTTTTGTTTTGTTTTGTTTTGTTTTGTTTTGTTTTTTAATGATATATTTGTTACTGGGGTTTGTTACCGAAGTTTACTATAGTCACGGTCTAGAAGGTTTCACCCTATAGAGTTAAAGTTCTTTGATCGATTTTTCTTCCTATAGCTTTGAAAAAGTTCATTATATTCTCTACCTAAACCTCAATCAAGGGGATCTTTAATATGAAGCAAATCTTTTAAGTTTCTCTTGATATAGCAGGTTCCCTTCCCTCTCTCCACCCTCGGTTAGAAACTACCCCCACCCACCCATCCACCCCACACCAGCGCCTGGTGCCTAACTTGTTCCTTATGCATGCGCACCAAGGTTGCCCAACTGTAATTGTGTTTTAATCCTGGTGTGTAAAACATTATGAACGCTAACAAAAAACAAAAAACAGAGTGCGGCGACATCCGTAGCTCCTATATATAAACCCGCGCTAGCTCCTGAGTTTGCTATTTCTCGCGTGATCTCACTGTTTTAAATTTTTCGCTTTTGAGCGTAGGCTCGATTTCCTCCGCTTTCTCGAGTCTGGTCTTCGGTCTTCGTTCCTCTACGTTCCTCCCCGGGGGAGAAACGCGGGCTCTTTTTTCAAGCAGCGGCTGGTAATCGCAATCGAGGTCATTTTTAACGTGGCATTACCTGTGCAGTTCAAGATTAGAACTTGTGTCATGCACGATGCTTTTTAGTCATGTTTCATTTTACTGATTTCATTCACAATCAGTCATCTCAATTAAAAACAGAGCTTTCAAAATAACGATTTTAAACGCAGATAAACTCCAGAGAATTGATCATAGATCGAAAATAAACCGGGGTTGATACCGCTGAGGAAGAGATAAATTACGAAAGAGAAATTAAAAAAAACAAAAAATGGTCAATTTTTCCAATGTTTTTTTTGGCTGTTGTCATTCGTGACCAACATAGCCCCTTAAACATGTTAAACGGGTGGAATTAATTTGTTTCAAGTTCGTACTACTTACGTATTTACTGGAGAAATAAACTAAGACATTTTCTGTTCTTCAGTATCGAGTTAGACAAACACGAAAGAAAGTTTAGGAGAATAAGAGATGTTGCGAGAGCAGAAGTCAGAAGTTAGTGCTCGATATGATTTTTCCGAGTTCTCTGAAACTGTCACGGGTGTTTCTATAACTCGATAAAACACGGAGAACGTGCTCTCTATTTCTTGTTTGATAACGTAGCGAGAAAGAGAAAGGAAAATCACTCGTGATTAGGTTATCAAAATGCAAATTCTCTCTACTCGCGCCATCATTTCGTTAATAGCTTGTGCCAGTTTTATGTTCCTTTCAGTTTATTGAAGTACGGCTTTTAGTGCACGCGTTTTTACTGGGTGCTTTTTAAATAAAGGTACGTTGTTTAATTTAAAAAAGGAATCCTGGCCTACCAATCCATTTGTAGGCTTTGTACATTGTGGGGACAATATCCCCAGCCCACCCCGTCTCGGGTGGACTTCAGGGTCAAAGCGAGGGAGGAAAAAAATATCACATTTCCCTAATGTATAGTTTTTTTTTTTTCTTTCAATCACACTTTACATGCATTTCCAATTGAATTCAGCATACTGATTTCCTTTTTCCGCAAGAGAACAGCTGTCTTGCTGCCGCGAAGGATAAACGGAAATCTTTTTACAATTGTAGCGATAAAGGCGTTCAAATTGAATTTTAACAGGGTGCATTTGCTGAAAAAGCTTTATTTAAAAGATAATTTTGGATCTGCAGTAGATAAGGGAAACAGAACTGATGCTTGTAAGATGAAAATCTGCCATGTCGTGACGTCACAGGCTTAATCATTCGTTGAGTCATTCGATCCGTTTACATGGTAAATGTCACGGTGAAAATCTTCGCGCTTTGTGCTCAGCCAACCGATAAAGGGCTTCCCCGAGGCCGGCAAAGTGTTGTTCTTTCAGGATGAAAGTTCGTTGATAACTCGATGGGCTTAGATCAACGTTTTTCTACCTGAATAGCTTACTCAAGACATCTCGTGGATTTGAACAGTTCACTATGGACTCGAGGTAGGTTATTATGGGAAAAATTATTTATTATAAGCACGCTGTGACGCAGCATTCGACTTGGCTTTTATTATCATTCATCATCTAGGTAATAATTTAACCGCTGAATGGAATCGCCAGGGAAAAACAGCCGGCCGGTTGATCGTGAAATAATTCAGATATCCCTGATTCGAAATGAGAAATTGATTCGAGCGTGTGAATCCTTACAGTTCACCAAAATTTTTCATGACTGTGTTACTAAAAGCTTGTAAGAGCAACATAATAACAACAGAACAGTTTTCCTTACGTTTAATTTGACTGATGTTTTAAATTGTAATTTTTCTTTGGCACAATTCTAAAGCGCACACTTGATTCGCAGGTACGCATATCCTTTTAATTAATTCAACCAAAAAATGCCTGGGGACTTGAATCTGAAAAGCAGCATCAGTTTAGCATAATGGCGAAATGTGCTCTCAATTTTACAGCAAACGACGCTTGCAATCTCGTTTTACATGGAGTAAACGAACTGTGTTCTGAGAGGTGATAAGGTTACCGCCAAGAATACATTACGATTCCAGAGAAAAATAAAGTTTCGGTAAAACCGCAGAACCCGGACTCTGAGGTTAGTCTCATTTTGCGTTATCTGTTAATTATAAAACAAAATAACTTTGCAACTCAAGAAACTCTCAAGTGGTGTGCATTTTTCCGTTCCATTCCAGAATAACTTTGAAATGGGCACGGTGTGTTCACGAGTATTAAAAGCGGCTTAACTTATCTTTTCAGAGGACAATAAACGCGATGACATAAAGCCAAGCTAAGAAGTGGAAAACACTTCCATTTTTCACAGCTACGGTACGCAATTACTGTATGATAATTCTGCTTGACACAGTGAGAACAATTAGCATAATAATTTAGTGTTAACTTTGTTTAAATCAATAATATCACCAATGGCAATCAGAGCAAAGAGCTCGCTGTTCAGTAAACAGGCACAGAGTGGGAAGTCGAACTAGCTGCAGAAATGTGGTCGGTATAAGACATACAATAACACGGGTAGATTGTTTTGAAATTTTGCCTATAGCGAAGGTTCTGCTCAAGGAGTAACCAGATAGTGCTATTGTGTGTCACTAAAACGGGCGATTCTGCACTCATAAGTCTGACCTCTTCGCATTCGTCCGTTGTCAAGCTGGAGTTTGAATCGGATAAGCAGAGGTGAGCTAAGAACTTTATTGGTTTTAGTTATTAATCTATCGGATGAGCTTCAATGTAACCTGTTTTCTCGGTAAGCAAACTTCTAACTATAAACATAACAGCAACTAGGTTTTGTTTTCTTAAACTTCTGCCATATTTCCCTGCGCCTGTCGCAGTGATCGCCACTAAGACATTTCAAGAACATTTTCCTCATAGCTTCGCTGTAATACGAATTCCAAAGAAATTTGACGGGTGCTTGGCATTTTGGCGCGAAAATCTTTTAGATTCTGGCCAGCTGAAATCCGTATGCGCTGTAGATTTGATTTTAACTAGATATGACACGGCTAGAAACAGTGATTTTTCCTTATTCGTGTACTGTATTGTAGTGCTCAAAATGTCAACAGATGCTAAAAATGTAAACCTGCACGTGGAAGCCATTTAAATGCCAAGCGTGCCTGTCACTAAATGGTTTTTTAAACTGACCTGCTCAAGGCCTTCTTCGTAGAATTACTTTGATACAAAACTGCCGACAGAAAAGCAAATACATCTTTTGAAAAAATGCATTTGGGGAATTTTTTTTGAAAGTATCAGATCAGATCGAGTTAACTAAACTGATTGATATGATACGAACGGAACTTACAGTGAAATTTCTTGAGATAAAAATCTGTGTTGCACAGGGCGGCCTTTTTAATTTGGTTACACTCTTTCGTCGATTTTTCATTTTGAAGACTTTGCGGGCGTGCTTTGATAGAGAGAATTTCCTTTACTTAAGGGCCCTCAGGCAACGAACAAATAACTTGATTTTGATCAAAAATCTATAATAGGCTAACGGAAATGTTATTCTCAATAATTCATAAGGTCTTTGAAATTTTAATTTTTTAAGATTTGGAGCAAAGTTTGGGTTAGTTGTTTTGCTTTTGCGAGGTGTACTTGCAGCTTGAACGAAGACGTTTTATAAGCCGTTGAAAGTTCAGTCAGTAAGTGATTTTGTCTGATATCGATGGAACTCTTGGAATTATTGTAATGCTACAAATGTCAGGTATTCTTATTTAAATGAATATATGTTACACAGAAAAGACATCAAATTGGTTACATGTATCCAAGTTTCAGTCGCCCACGCACTCAACTTCGTACCGATTTTCATTAAAATGCTTAACGCGATTTTATTGTCTTCGCAACAAAAATGGGGCATTTTATTATTACCTGAAGCCAGAAAAAAATCCGTGCTTTAGAAAATGTCGAAGGAGCCTGATTCCACTGACAGATTAACATTTTGTTTTGAAAACTGGAATGGAAATGTTCGTGTTCTTTGCAATATCCGCCGAACATGGCTCGCCGCGCGCGGGGGACCCACGCGAGACCGCGCAGGAAACGGCATGAAACTACGCGTGTGTAGTTTGTATTTGCCGTAATGGCTAATGTGTTCTGTGGTCTTTAAACCACACGACTCGTACATATCTCTTTCCCTCTTATCTTGTACACGCAGAACGCAGGGTGAAGTCACTTTTAACCACACGGTGAAGTATCAGGTGTGGTGTTTTACCTTCAGAGGATATAAAAAGATGGGAAACTACAATTTCGGGTAATTTAAATGAAAACCGCTTAAGACCACCCCTCCCCCCATTTCAATGACGGAAGAAATGGCGCGTTTTGTGTTTAGCGGCAGTTCTTCATTTGTTGAGGGGGAGGGGTGGGTTTATTTCTTATTTTATTCTGACCAAGATTGTAGCTGGGACGGAAGGGGAGTGGTGGGGGTGAGGGAGGACTGCTATGAAAGAACTGACGGAGAAACTTGTCAGAAATTGTAAAAGGAGCCTCTAAAAGGTAATAACAGTACCAGAATCCATTCTTGTGGTGGAGAGGGGGAGGTTTAGGAGAGCTGTAGTTCAAGCAAATTCTTATCCTGAGGAAGTCGCAAAAGGAGTTCATTTTGTTGCCGTGATGAGTAATTGTGACACTAATAAGTAATACTATGAGATTTGAAACGTAATCCGTTCACCTAAACCATTACCAAAGCGCTATTTTCGACCTTACCTCCCTTGTGTTGCCCGCAACCCCCCCGGAAAGATATGTAATGTTGTGTTGTTTTCATTTCTCTATTTAGATGACGTCAAACCGAACGAAATCATCTACTTCGTCAGAAAATGGAATGCCAGGCTCCCCCGTCTCCACGGTGGCGTTTTTTCCGCAAAAATCAGAAAAAGACAAGCGCGGTTCAAGGAACGAATATCGCCTTGTTAAAATTGTTCTCCCTGCCGTTCCAATCCTTCTCCTGTTGGCGTTAGTCATTGTACTCGTTATCTTACTGACTCGAGGTAAATCAGAAGAACCGAAGAAAAATGGTCTTGGTGGTTGTAGCTTTTCTGATGAAGCGAAACGCGTCGGATTGGACTCATTTCTGGACGCACTTCTCCAGAAGCACCATGAGTTATTGCCAGAGAAGTTAGGGTCAAAACCCGGGGTGACCGCGGAAGAGGTTCGGAAACATTATCGACCTTACGATCCTCACCCGAGCGCCATCAAGAACTTTACCGATGAAGTGCGAAGACTTCACGACCGGTTGGAGGAGATCATCGGAAAGTCGGACGGAGCACAAATGAAGTTACGTGAAAACAAGGCTATGTATGTGGCGCAACACCTGCTAAGACACTCCTTCGACTGGGGACCTTATGAACGAAACTATTACGCAGGAGATTGGATGTTTGAACCGAATTTATACTGCTGGCAGCCAATCTGCTATGTGCTGTCAAACTTAGAAGGCGCAATCTTATCCTTTAAGCCGAATGATCTCGAGGGATTAGAACAGATTGAACAGCTGTTCAAGAAACATAGTGAGACTATTTCAAGGTACATTGAGAATCTAAAGCTAGGCGTGGAAACTGGCATGGTGCGTTCTGTCGAGTCTTGTACAGCGGGAATTCACGCGACTAAAAGAAATTATTACGAGATAGCCATTCACAATGAGACAGGTAAGAGTTTTAGCGCTGTCTTGGTATGTATACTGGGGAGAAAGCTGCTATAAATTTCGTTTTTTACAATAACTGTCTAATTTCTCGCGCGCTGATTGGCTCATTTTTATCATCAAGAAGAGTACAGACGGATAAAATTTTAATTTACGCAAGCTTTCAAGTTCAACTTTCAGCTGTTAAACTGTCAACTTTTTAACCAATGAGATTTAACCACTCGCCTACAGCTGATGGTTCCACGGCCACTTTGACAAGGTTATGGCGCAATTTATCATCAATAAGAGGACACACGCATAGAAACTGACGTCAATTTGTTAATTTGATCTGAACGTGCACGGTCACACCCACTCCTCGCTCCATCGTCTATGATAACACTCAAAAGCACGCGAGCTCACTTGCTCGCGCTTAATTGCAAGCACGTTCCTTGCTCGCGCGCTTCCTCGCTCGCGCGCTTCCTCGCTAGCGCGCTTCCTCGCTCGCGCGCTTGCTCACTTGCTGGTAAACTTTCCACACATTGCATGAGCGAAAATAGAACAATTTCATATCGCCCATTACCGAGGGGGACTAAATGATTTATTTAAATCCAGTAAATAAAAACAATCAAAAAGTCTCTTTCTTTCATCAGTGAGAACTTCTTGACAAAGGTTCGTATGAATACACTTGATATCACCTTATTCATGTGTTGGTGTCATTTCTGTATATCTTGAGTTCGCTCCATTAAGAAAGAAAGCTGAGAAATGCAGGGTAGATTGCTTGACTAATGACGTTTTCTGTTTTGTCCTTACAGGTATTTTTAACGAGGGTGTGGCAAAAACTATTCTAGCAAAACGTTTTACGTCGAAAATTACATCTGAAATGAACACCACGTGGTACAAGAAACGAGGAGAGAGCGTGGAGGCGTCACTCAGACGATTTTTGCTGGTTTACCTAGGTGAACCGCTGACCAGACTTATAAGGTATGTAGACGTAAAAGCTCAATTTCTATAATAGAATAAAGCGGGAATAACTCATCCATCATCCGTAATCAGTCAGTCAGTCCGGTCAATCTGTCAGTGAACCAGGCAATTAGTCAGTCAGTCTGTCAGTGAACCAGTCAATCAGTCCATAAGTCAGTCAGTCCGTCAGTCAGTCAGTCCGTCAGTCAGTCAGTCATGCAGTCCGTCACACTGTCAGTCAGTCAGTCAGTCAATTTAATCAGGCAATCAGGCAATCAG